AAACTGACATTCAATCTATTTTTAGACTTTTCTGAAAACGTACCAGCGTGACATCCGACGGGTTTTCCCAGATCGCATCACAAATAAGGGCCTCGTCACAGGGCCCAATTGTCTTCCCTCTGATGATGGACATTGCCTAGTACATTACCAAGATTAAAACTGAGCTTTCACACTCTCTTTATACCCTTCTTTCATTCTTTCCTTTCAAAATCTCTCCATCCTATTGCCCACACATCATTATTAACAACATTAACTAACAATTAACTGTTCACTGCACCTGTCTAGTACGTGAATCGGATCCACAGCATCAGCAGAAGTTATCATTGCGCTCATTTCAAGATTCTCATCTTTGGCCGCACCTTCCACGTTACATTCAGACCTCGGATCACCAACTAAGTGTCTAACAACAGAAAGGGTCGCTCTATAATGAGTTAGATATTGTTTAGCCGTAATGACAGCTGTTATTCTTGCTGTCTTGGCAAATGAGTTTTGGCCCGTTGTGTTAATGAGCCAGTTGTGTTAGATTTAATTATTAGAGGGCAGCTAGTGAGATTAAAAAGAGTTTCTGCTACCTTCCCTCTTACATACACTATAATAAACATATGCTGTATCAAAATATGTAAATCCAGCAGTTATGTGCGTTGCGTCGAACAGCAGCTGTTGGGAGATCACGGCTGCTGTGAGACATGCCGTTGGGAAACAGACTGCCCAAGACTGACAAATGCAGTCCAACAAGTGTGTGTGTCACAATAGAGAGAGTGTGTGTTGTCACCTGTTTGATGGTGACAGTTGTGAATGGTGGTGTTTTCGAATCTTGCTAGATCCCTCACTGTTTATTAGACTATTTCTCTGTGTTTATAGCTTTCATAGACACATCCATCCTGTACAGCTGACGGTAGCTTTATTATTTTGATTTATCTGTGCATCCTCTTGGGTTTTCAGAAGCATTACCGTAGACAGTGCAGCAATCATTTCTGATTTGATTTAGGATGGTTTTGATTCTGGACACGCATCTTTACTGATATACACTCACAAGAAAACGTTCTATATAACCTTCTGTCAGGCACTTCTTCTAGAACCTTTTAGGGGTTTCATAATGGGATTGTTTTGTGGATTTAATTTGAATTAATTTTTTTATTTGAATTCCTATTAATATTATTAATTAAACAGCTCATGTAATTGTACACTATTATGCAATCATTTTAAGTGTAGCTTCACTGATTTTCACCCCACTTTTTCTTGTTATATGTCAGTAGAATATGTAAATGAACTTGTTTGCTTGTTGTCTGTTAACTCGACCGATAAATTCACATTAATTATGAGCAAAAGTCTGCTGGATGGTGCAAAACGCGTCTCCAGGGCTTTTGTGAAGACTACAAATACTTCAACATTTTACCTGACCCGGACAGTTATTGTAAGAGTAGGTTTAACACTGAAAATGTATATGATAACATCTTTCTTACATGTACGTGACAGTGTTTTGGTTTGGTGGAACTGACAGAACAGCAGTTTCTTGCTGTTTTTTCCCTCCATTTGACCTAAAATACTGCGTTTGTCATCCAGTTTGGAAAGGTTGACTACAAACACTGCGGCTTTTCAGATTTTCCATTGCAGTTTCATATTTATGATTCTTTACAGCCTTTAGCCGCTACCTACAATGCACTAGATTGTTCACTGGAAACCGGAAATAACTCACTGCTGCTAAACATTTACTCTTTGAATTCTTGCACCCGGGAACAATTATGACTAAAAGACGTTTTTCCTACTAAAGCAAAGCGTTATTGACTGGTTTAGCGTATCGATAGTAAACTGGTAGTGGCCTTGGACGACAACATGTCCAGCACAGTGTCTTGAAGTTTCCCTACCTATTTTCCTAAAGGAAAGACAACAGCTCTTTTCCTCATGTGTTATGTAGACAGGTAACACCAATTTCAAAAATTGGTTGGCCTTTCTGCATAGGCAGCCCAGTTTTGTTGAAAGCCCATTTTGCCTGTGAAGAATACCCTTTTCTCATTATTTTTGGCATAAAGGTTTTTTTTTTACATTTACTTTTATATTTATTCATTTAGCTGACACTTTTATCCAAAGCGACTTACAATTGCTAATATATGTCAGAGGTCACACGCCTCTGGAGTAACTAAGGGTTAAGTGTCTTGCTCAAGGACACAGTGGACAGTGGGACACAGTGCATTTCTCACACCAAAGGCATGTGTCTTATCCACTGCCCCATGATTTTTAAAATTGAATCAAGAACCCAAAAGGTTTGAGTCAAGATCTCAAAATTGTCTCATTTAAACAAACTTTATTACGCTCCCACACAAATTCTATTTACGTGCACTTTTTTTGGACAGTGACGATTCTGTCCATCAAATGAACCTCTCCCTCAAACATGGGAAAGCTTAGAGATTATGATGTTTCTCATCTGTCATTTACTGTCAGTTTGATGGATATGTGACATTGTTAGGGCGGAATACAGGTTGTTGACTCTTTGAGCCCTTGTGTGTCTTTTTCCTTTGTCATTGCTGATTTTGGGGTAAACAGAGTCTAAAGCAGATGGGACAACTGAATCAGATGCATTTATTAGGATTGTGCGCTGCATTTATTTTATAATGGGCAGCTGTTATGATATCGTAAGCAGCCAAACATCATAAAAATCCATTAAGTTCTGTTTGAGTAACAAGCAAACTAAATAAATAAAAATGCAAGGGGGTTACTCACCGGTTGCACTTCTCCAAAGAGAAGGAATCTAGATCCTCCACAGGACTCCAGTCTTATAGAAGAAAAATATAGTTATTCTCTTCAATAAATTAAAGTGCAAATAACGTTACATCAAATAATTAACACGATCAATCAGCCCAACATCACAAGTCTCTACAGCTCTGCTAGAGAAACAATTTTAAAAAGCAAACTCAGACAGAGGAACTTACTTTTTGAGCAATATGGCGAGGTAATTTCATTTGAGGTAATTCTAGAAAGAGGTTATATAAAGAAAGAAAGAAAAAAAAAAAAACAATTACAAGTACTAAATCAAAAAAGCGCCCAGCAACTCGATGCCCTAACGTTAACGTTTACTATTTAAAAGACATCTGCAGATGTGAACGCAAGCTACAACCCTCCAAAGCCCATTGATACGGCTCTGGAGAGGAAACCTGGTTGTGAATGCAATTTTCTTTCACTGCTACTACCAAACTCAAATTCCCCAGCAGAGATTCTCGTGAACGACGTTATGTTTATAACGTTACTTCTCTGCCACCGCAATATCCATCTCCAGAAAAAAACCTACTAATAAATATAAAATTAGGAATACTTACGACTGGTGATAAGTAGGACTTAGTAGAGGATCTCCAATGGTGATATCGCAAATTCGCAATTTTAAATCCCAGCCGCTATCTTTCGGCGCGAAACTTCATCGTATAACGTCAAGCGTCAGGTGGGTGACGTCATCAACTACAGAGCGCTGTAGCGGCCAATCGGCAGTGCAGCATCATAAATTATTGTCTTCAAAATTATTAACCTGTGAATTTCTCAGATAGATGTGGGTTGTGGGATTAACTTTTTAAAACACTTTTACAAAATATATTACAAAATAATAAATATGATTTGAAAAAGATAGGAAAAACTACCTGTAAAATGACCAAGTACAATATGAGGTGTTCTAAAGAAAAAACTGCATATATGCAGTACAGTTGAAATTATATATCACTCTGACATATATATATATATATATATATATATATATATATATATTTTTTTTTTTTTTTTTTTTTTTTTTTTTGCAGTATAGTGACATATACACTCAAAAAATGCTTTGGGTCAAATATGGACAAACCCAAATGTTGGATTAAAATGCAATGAAAAAATGTACAGTTGAAAGTGAAAGTTGAATTTGGTTTAAAATTTGAAATTACATTTTTAACCCAACATTTGGATCCTGCCATGAGCTATAGGAAACTCTTGTATGCACATATAGCGCTTATGTGGATATAAAGAAGCAATACAGGAGACCTATATGGCCTGTATATGCACATATATGCACCTCAAATTGCCTATATGTGCCATATTTACGCATTTATGCAGCGTATATTTCCATATTTGTGCATATGCTGTTTATATGCAGCATATATGTGCATATAAACTGCATATAGGTTTCATAAATGCACATATATCCTCATATAGGTTCTTTCAATGTGGGAATTTATTATCAGTTACAGCTTAGATCTTGTTTATTTTTGTTACAAATTGGTATGTATGGCAATATAAATTTCAACATTTAACAATTGCTCATCAAAGCTTTAATAGTGGTCAAGTGCAATGTTTCTGAGATGAATCATCAGAATATGCGGTTAAATATTTATTTCAGAAACCTTGCTCTTGTCCACTATTAAAGCTTTGATGAGCAATTATTAAATGTTCAACAGCATCTAAATTACTCATTTGCTCATTATGGATTTAGTTGGCATAAAATGAATATTCACTCTTTTTCCAAATGCCTGTTATAGACCTTATTCAGAGCAGCGCCATGACAGGTATAAAAGCGAGGCTGTGTTTTATGTGGCATCCGCTTTAAAAAGCTGTATAAAGTAGCATCCTTTTTTTCATTCAAAATGCATTCAAAAGTGATTTTGCTCTTTGGCTGGCGCTGAAGCAGAGGCGCTCAGTGCTTTTCATATATCACAACTATTAGGTGTTTTCAACCACATGTTTATTTTAGGTTTCAGACATTTAAATGAAGTAGGCCTAGTCTACAATTTAAAAAATACATCACATTTGTTTTTGTATATATTTGCAAAAATCTGATGACAGTAAACTTTTTGGATTTTATTAGTTTTGTGCAATAACAATAACAGTTGCAAATGTTTCAATATATTTTCGTTAATATATTGGATGATGTACCATCGTCTCGTACAAGCTAAATGCATCTCTATTATGTTATAATTTAGCTGTAAATGTACTGCTGTATTAAGGGGAATATCTTTTTTCGTTTTTTAATGTCTCCACAGGTCTGGATGACTGCTTGCAGCAGTATATAAAGAACTTTGAACGGGAGAAGGTAGGAGGTGACCAGCTGCTGAGGATCACCCATCAGGAGCTAGAGGATCTGGGGGTGTCCCGCATCGGACACCAAGAGCTGATCTTGGAAGCTGTGGACCTGCTGTGCGCTCTGGTGAGAGCCTTTCTTTATATGCTTGATCCTACATCTTCTGTTCATCACCCTGTCAGCTGGTAGACATCAAGTCCCCTACTGCAGAATGTTGACAAAGATATAGAGATATCACTTATAGAGAAAAACTATATCGCATTCTGAAAAGACTACGTGTTTGCATTTTTGACTGCCATTTTTGACATATAATAATAACAGTATTGGAGCCTCTTTTTTATAATCCACTCAAATTAATATTCAATTTCAATTTGAATAATCTCACATTACAGTGATAATACAAGTTTAAAATGCCATTTCATGCTATCTTAAAAGTTACAAGATTTGAGAGTTTTATATTGTTCTCCTGGGAAATATTTCCTCAGATTTGTTCTTAAATTTTTTTTGTTTTTTTGGGGCTTTTTGGTAGGTGTGTTTGTTCCTCTGTATCTGCTCTTGCAGTGTGCATGTGTGTCTTTTGACTATTTTTTTTATTGCTGTTAGATGTTCGACTGCTTGAAAATGATTGTCAAAACGGTACCAAGTGTACAGACAGTGTGGGAGATGAGAAAGGATTTAGGCTGAAATTTGCTCTGCACCGCTTGAGCCTTTTACATTATCTAGCATTTAATAACTAGCTTTCCATCTAATTCTCTCTCTCTCCTCCACTTCCTCTCTCTCGAATCTCTCAGTTGAGGTATTAAAACAATGACTTACCAGCCCACGCTTTCAGAATGTCAGCAACATGACGGGAGGGAAAAGACGACAGGATGATGTTTATCGCGTCCGTGCTGAGTCTCTCCTCAGCCTTTATCCTCCTTGTACTTTTTAAGTTTTATTCTTTTTCTATCTTCGCTTCACCCTGTCTTGTCTTTCTATCAGACATGTTTCTTGTTGCCTTTTCCTGATCTGTGAGATTTCTAACACAAGGTGAACTATAATGAGTGTGAGGTTTTGTGAGTGACTGAACCACTGGCCTGTGCTGCTGACATTTAGGAGAGCGTTAATCATAAATAAATGACTTTGCTGTGCTCTCTATCTGTTCTGAACGCTGATCCCAAATCAGAGCTGATGACATTCACGTTACACAGCCTGTGTGAATGTCAGCCTGTAGACATGTGCGTATGAAATTAGCTATATTTCATCTGAATCATTCACCAAAACTGCACACAAAATTAGATATTTTGCAGAATGTCCCTGCTTCTCTTTTCCCTACAATGAGCATAAGGGATAGTTCACTCAAAAATGTTTTTCCAAACCTAAAGTAGCATTTTAATTTTAGAATGAACTTTCCCTGACATTTTTAGCTCTCAAATCTCATTTTACATTTAACTGCTGGTTCACATAATAAAATATAAATATTAGATATAAAACACACAAACTGTAGCTGAAAATATAAAAGTAAATTCAAAACATAACCATAATGATGTGCCTTGTTTCCCCATTGTAAGGTGTCTTCGAAACCGTCTCAGATACAAACTTGCACACAAATATTTATGGAAGCCAGAGCACTGAGTCTTTATTGTTTGACAGCATATTGACCTCAGAGACACAGAGCAGCCCACTCCTCTCCTTTCCTGTCTCTCTAAACTCTAAAAAGCTGTCATTATCTCTCGTATTTGTTTATCTCACTCTTCCCCTTCCAATTGCTTTATCTTTCTGTCATTGTGGTGTGTTATCTTCTGCATGCCCCCACCACCACCACACACATCTTCTGTGCAAGTCTCCCACCACTCTGAAGCTGATTAATGTATCTTTTGTGAGTCTGTGTGTGTGTTGTACATACATGTTTTAGTGTTGCAGGTGTGTTTATTACCTGTTCTTGTACTTCGTGAGTGCGTGCGTGGGATTTTGTTCTTCGGACGAGATGGAGCACATTACTCTGATCGATCTCCTGCTGATGTGAGAGGAGATAGGCGCTACTGAAATTGATGCGCGCGCACACACACACATACACTTACTTTTCTATCATGGTGGGCACTTTCCATTGACTTCTGTTGTTTTATGCTGAATTCATAATATTTTCAATTTTCAGCCTCTAAACCCAGCCATAACAGATACCATTTTGCATTTGTATATTTATATTAAGACATTATTTGGAGTGATTTTTTTTCTATTAAGAGTGAAGCCATAAACATGTTTTGTGACCAACTTGTGCTAATACTAATACTACTAATATTACTAATAACAAAAACAATGCTTTTATTACCACTACTAATAATACATAAACAGTGAATATATATATATATATATATATATATATGCAACTTACTGTAAGTTGCTGGCTGTAGTTCACTTAACGGCCACCAGTGTCGCTAATAAAAGGGGTTTCTGAATTCTACATATAGCGCCTATGAAGCCACTGTATGTAAGTTTCATGGCTAAATGTCACTATTCAAAACAATGACAAAGGTGTAGCTTGATGATGCCGTGAATGAGTGTGGAATCATGGGAGTTGTGAGGGGAGGGCTGAGAGCCTGGGAAATTTTACGTTGCTGTTTTAATGCTTGTATGCCGCATTCGGCTGCTGATCCTTTAGTTCCCTTTCGCGCACTGCGTCGAATGACGCTTTGGGGGATGCCTCAAATTGGAATTGTATTGTATGCAATTTTATATTGCAAGAATCGTAGCATCAAATTGGACACCAATCACCTAATAATGCTAAAAAGATTTCTGAGTGTGTAAGGTTTATGGATAGATATTGGACTAATGTGTGAGTTCCTTCTCCTGAATGTATGTGCATAATGCCATCAGCCTTTGCTCCTTGATCCCTACTCTTTATACAGGAACAAGGTACTTTGTTACCCTGCCAAATTCATTTGCAATTTAAAGTTTTCTACGTCCTATGCCAAAGACGCCTATATCTGTATATAAAAACAGCTGTGCTTATTGGCTTTTTTTCTGACATGGTTTTGTCAGATATAGATATGCAGATTTGTCCGAGCTGATTGCTTTATCTCACAGAGGAGTGAGGCGTGTGTAAGCTCCTATCAGCTGGCAGCAGAGACTCTCAGTGCATTATTCATACTCTGAACTTTATGTTCTGTCTCCACCCACTCAACACACCTCTACATATGAAGCACTCTCTCTCTCTCTCTCTCTCCCTCTCTGCCAGGTGCTGAATATTCATTTGGGATCTCTGAGTGATCTGAGAAAGAGAGAGAGAGAGATTACCAAATGTATGCTCATTGTATACATCTAGTTTAACGTTAATAACTTAAGTTATTCATTCCGTCTTAAACTAATTAATTGGCAATTATTTTATTGTTACAAAATAAGTATTTAAATTTTTAAAAGTATTATTTGGCAAGCCTTTGTATAGTAACATTCAAAAAACTTTCCTATTTTAGTTTTACTTGCACAATGTTCACAATTGCAAATGTACAACTTCTGTCATGCCAATAGTGCAAAATAAAATTGAAAACAGAGAATGGAGAGTCATTTATCTAAAAAGGGACACTGAAAAGAACAGTGGGAAAACAAAGAGCGATGTTCTGATTGAGTCATTCCTACAATTGTTGGAGTGTCGCGTTTCATTTTCTTTATCTCTGTTTGACAGAACTATGGGCTGGAGACAGAAAACCTGAAAACCCTCTCTCACAAGCTCAATGCCTCCGCCAAAAACCTGCAAAACTTCATCACGGGTCGCAGACGCAGCGGCCATTATGATGGTCGGACAACCCGCAAGCTGCCCAACGATTTCCTCACCTCTGTGGTGGACCTCATCGCTGCTGCTAAGAGCCTTCTGGCCTGGCTGGATAGGTTAGTCCTGCTAAGAGCCGCACACACACTGAATCAAAACATTAATTATCACGTACTTAATAAAAAATATACACGTTTGATTTAATGTAATTCAAATTCCACATTGATGTGTCAAGTTGGAGTATAGCCAAATTCAGTGCCCTTTCCATTAGAGATGGGCTCCTCTGAGAAACACTAGAGTAAAGTATGTTTGACATCATATAAATATTAAAGAAGTATGACCTTAAAGGCTAATAGGGGTCTCCTCCTGAAATCCAGGGTCTTTTGTCATCTTTTGTTGTTGACGTGAGTAATTGAATTCTCATGACTTGATAGTGGTTGATCTAGAACTGCAAGTAAGATTTCTTTTGAAAGAAATGAATTCAGTGAGGATGCATTAAATTGATCAAAAGTGACAAAGACATTTCATATTTATATTTATATATCATGCAATCATGGGAGTTGGATTACTTGTATGGATTACTTTGCATTTAGTATGTATTCCGGTACTGGAATCCTTTGTTGTTGCTTAAAGAAGGCCTCTGATTTTAGGCTTAACTCATCAGGAAATACGGTTGTGTTTCCTCAAATGTTTTTTCCAGGAATGACAGAGGGTGTTGATCCAGGAACATTTCATGTTTATGCATGCAAATCATTTTGTGTAGGCTGTTCCCTCCCGTCAAGGGATGGCACTTAGAATCAGAGTGTTTCAGGGTGGGGAGAAGGTAGCGACTTGGGGTCTCTTGTTTAGTGTGCACGAGGCCAGCATTTGTCTGTTCGAATCATGTGGATCTGTGTTCCACCCCTGAGCAATCAGGTACATAGATGAGTGAAAGAGGTCTTATATAACACAGACTATTTCTCTCAGTAATTTACGCTTTTTTCAGGGTCTGTTCATAGTGATTTCTTTATGAATCAGTACAATATATTTTTTTAAATTCTGCTGACAGTCATCAATCAAGTCAAGAAATCTGATCAAATAAACCCTGTTGCTCTATAATCTACATTGGATACCTGTTCCTCGCTGCATTTAGTGTTTAACTTTTAAATGTTTTCATGGACTTGCTCCCAATTATTTATCTGAACTTCTACTATTATTCACCTCCTGTCATCTGACTTAAAAACTGCTTACTTTACCTTGTTTTCGTCTTTCAACAATGGGTGGTAGAATATTCTATGATCTGGCTCCGAAACTTTGGATTTCCTCAAACTCTTCGTGACACACATGACAACTTCTCTAGAGATCTTCTTTCGTGACACTTCTACTAAAAGATCAAATCTTTTTATCTCTATTTGTACATGAAACAAATGTAACAAATGCACATGAAACAAATCAATGTTATATAGTTCAACATGATGAAATGTTAGAATATGGTCAGTATGTTATTCTAATGTTGATCTAGCTTACTGCTAGTCTCATACAGCCAACAAACTAACACATAGAATAACATTATAACTTTTGAACACACTGTTTACTATGATAGTGTAGAGAAAGTGCTGCATTACCTCACAAGTTTAATTCGTCTAATAAACTGACCTGTCTGAGTATAAATACAGCACTTGCGGGTAGTTTGGTTGAAAGAAATGTCCTTAACGTTATTCTTTTATATCCAGCTGCTTTACTCGGTCCAGCTCCCTCTGGTACCGAGCCTGGCATAAAGCTCTGGACTGGGACAGCACCGCACAGTAGGACCCTTTCCATCAGATGGCATTTGATATCCTCTCAGCTACACCCCACTGAGAACGCCATCTCTCTGTTGCTGTGCCCAGACACCCGCAAACCCACTTTTTGATCCTGGACCTGACAGCGGTTCATATCACACACATTTCACATTGGCCCAGTCTAGATTGGGATCAAGCTAAGGGCACTACTCCACACCAGCTCACGACTTGCTGACTAAGCTGATCTTGTAGCCAGTCAGTGGTTTCTGAGTTTCAGTATCCATTATCAGGAACGCACACTGTAGGAACAAGGCCACCGGGTGGGAGGGGTGCCTCGTTCCCCGCTTTCATTAATGATGGCCTAATTACGCTCCCCGGTCTTTCTTCTCTGCCAAAACAGTCCCCAGTAGAGCTGTCGTCTCCCCTGCAGACATAGTGGAAGAACAGAAGGAACTCTGAGAGAGAGGAAGGAACAGAGTTACACTAACGCAGGTGAATGGATCTGAAGCCAAGAGACATTATGACTGACTTGAGAGTCTCTGTCCCTTAAGTGTTATTGGTTGATATCCATCCAGGCTGACACCAGCTCTCCTCTTCCACTTGCCAAGCCCGTGATCATCGTTTAATGAAACCTGGGTGCTTCTGTTGGGTTTGTTGTGGGCTTTCCCTCATTATCGTTCACTGTGGGTGGAGCTCCATGTGGGAGGGGCTTATTGAAATGCATGGGAAGTTCTGTAAGGGTTTGTTTACCCGTCGATTACATTAAAGGGTAGTTCACCCAAAAATGTTATTTCTATTATTAATTTCTCAGCCTATGTCGTTCCAAACCCATAAGACTTACATTCCTCTTCGGAACACAAATGAATATCTTTTTGATGAAACCTTGAGCGCTTTCTATCCCTCCATTGATAGCTACTCTTCAAGTTTTTGGGTGTACTATCCCTGTAAGAGGCATAATAGAGCAGTACTCAACATATTGATTGTTCAAGCGACAAAACACTTATAATGTCATTTAAAGTTTGTGAAAAGACTGTTCAACCTCTATGCACTACATTACAAACACAGTGTACTTCCATTCCTCAGTCTCATTTTCATTTGTGTCACTTTTTTAATTTTTTTATTTGTTTTTTTATATTACACTCAGCTCAGCTGTTTTCAAATGCACTCCTTTTTAAAGGATACAGAATAATTCTAGTAAACCATACTAGAAATAAAAATAAATAATTTCGAATTCTAGTCTAAATATGAGCCTCTAATGTCTTGATGGTGCCCCACTAGAGTTACCCATATTTACTTTTTATGGTATAATCATTATAGACTCCTTTTGCGCCGACATCACAGTTACGTCACGGCGCTAGCTGGAGGCAAAACAAAGTGAAAACTGGAGGCGGCCAATGCAAACCAGCACAGATTCGGCTACATAATAAGGAGCTTAAATTACTTGAATTATTATTAAATATCATCTTATTGTGTTGTTTGGTGCAAGTATCAATGAAAAATGAATATGCTGTATCTGGACTTTTTATTTCTAGAAAATATTCACATGACTAAAATCGCACTGTAATGTCACTCTTTACATTGTCGTCGTCTCGGCGCTGGCTCGGCAGAACTGCGGATCGTACACATGTCAGTCTTGTACATGACCGTTATAGGCATCTAAAGATTTGTATGCCCTCAGTTTCTCTTTACGATCGGTTTCTCCATTAGGTAGGTGTAGAAGTCAGGCCACTCAACTGATGTTACGTAACGTTAATCCTGTCAGATCGTCCATGCATTGAGTGAGCGTGTGAAGGCTACGGGTCGGCCAATCTGGTTCTGTCCGTTAAAATGAACTTTTGAAAATAGCAATCACGGTCCTGGGTGCGTTTCCCGAAAGCATCGTTAGCCAACTATGGTCGCAAGTTCCGTCGTTACCAGCATAGTTCAACGAGTCGGTGTTTCCCGAAACCATCGTTCCAACGAACATTCGTAAAGAGCATCGCAAAGTTGTGTGGTTTGAACGTCAGCTCTCGACCTGTGTTTAGAAGCATTGTTTCTATATTTCATGACATTTGGAAGTAATAAATCCTTATCTTGAGCAAAATAAGCAAGCTGACATTCAGTACAACCGGTGCCTTTTATTCAGAATACATACAAATGTAATTTACGTATTTTAGTTGTGAACTCGCTCTACTATGTAAGAACGAGCCAAATATTGAGTCTGGTAATAAAGCAAAACAACTGAGAACAATTAGAAATAGTACTCAGATGACATGTCTGTAAATTATATAAAACAAATCTAGCGTTAATTGGATCTCAAACATTTTCATTAAAAGTAGTTATTACTCCACCACGCGCGAAACCAACGTGGTTGAACGATACTTTGCGACAGTGGGTTTCGGGAAACAGTCGTGACTAGCTAGTTGATTTTTCCAACGATGCATCGTACTATGGTAGTGAAGCAGCGAACTACGTCGTTGTACGGGAAACGCACCCCTGGACAGTGAGTGACCTTACACATTAAGATAAAATCGGATTTTCTTCAGTCATTGTTAAAAAAATAAGCTAATAAAACTTGCTAACTAGCGTTAGTGAAGCAGCCAGAGGGATCGTTCTGCCTCCACCTAAGCTCCGCCCACATAAAAAACGTCACCATGTTTACCAACTGAAAAGGGGTCTATGCCTAGATAAAGGTTCCTGACTCTTTTCTGGAGCTCAAACAGAAGAGCAAGGTCACCAAGTCAACTACCATGCAATACCAAAGTCACGTGTTTGATTCCCAGGGAGAATGTGAACTGCTAAAATGTATAGCTTGAATGCACTGGATAAAAGCATCTGCCAAATGCATAAATGTAAATGTCCTGACATTTATTAGTGATAATGTTTTTTCATTGATTTGTTCAGATAGGAGCTTAAAGTGTTCGGATCCTCTCTCCGTGTGTAAAAGGATCTTACAGCAGCACATAAGCAATTACAAAAGCACCCATATACTCTCATGCATTGATCGAAAAACTGGAGCAGGAAGAGGTGAAACTTTGAGGCCTGGCCTTGAGGAGATGGTAGCGGTCTTTTTTGCCCAACTGACGGATTTTCTGTCAGCCTGGAGCCTTCGTGTCCAGATGGCGGCGTTTGCTCAAATGCTTTGAAAGAGCAAAGGTTGAATGTAATGAAGTCTAGTCAATCCTGGAGAGAATCGAGTGAGCTGCATAGATTTCAGTGTCTCGCAGACTAGCTCGGATGACTTGAACTTTTTTGCTTATTTTTTGCTGCTATCATTTCTTTGTCTCTCCCTCCCTCTCCATCCCCTCAGGTTTCTTTCAGACAGCTCTCGTGAAGCGATGAGTTCATGCTTGCTGACAGGTGTCCTTAAACCGGGGTCAGACGCTGTCGCTGTACTCATCTACCACAAAGTGATATTTGGAAATCAAGCGAAGTCGCTGACATTTAGGAGTGGAGTTTTGAATGGGGATTTGGTATTCGCCTAGAGCTGCATCCCAAATCCTATTTAGAGAAGAGAGTTTGACTCAGGAATGTGTGTTCGGGTGGTATAAGAGCACTAGTAGGGTCTTTCAATGAACGATTTTTAGCGCAACGCTGAAAGATTGTTAGAGTTTCTTAAATTGTGAGGGGCTTCTGGGTTTGCTTCAGTTGGTATTCCCACCGGTCTTAGAGGAATATTTAGACACAGGATAGAAACGATGAACCAATGTTCCTACAGCCCTGTATATATAGCACACAGCCTCAATACACACGACCCACATTCACTTCGTCACTCACAGAAAGAGAGAAACTGGGTCTGGAGTACATTCACGACCAACGGGGATAACCTATAGCACAGCACACTCTGACACATATCTAAAGTTTACAAGCACACACACTCAAATTGTCTATCTTGTGGGTCTGGCTCTAAGAATAATCTAACGGTTAATTCCAGGTGCTACTTCTTTTGCAGGTCACCGTTCGCTGCCGTAACAGATTATTCCATGACCCGGAACAACGTGATCCAGCTGTGCCTGGAACTCACTACCATAGTACAACAGGTAATTGACCAAACCAAGATCAAACACTCTCATATTACTGTAGATGCGAATACTTCTCATGGAAACAACATTTGAGTCTAGTTCAACTGGGGAAATTCTTTGAAATATTTATGTAGGTTGTATATGGCTGTAGTCTAGCTAATGAGAAGGACTTTCAGGGCAGATTTAGCTCTGAGATTGGTGCAGTCAGAGGTTTTTTATTTTTGCCAAATATGATGATGAGGGACTAAAACATAAAATATTGAGGCAGCTGTATATTTTCATGTCAAAAAAAGAAATATATAAATACAATTTCAGTTTTAAAATTAAATGTGTTGATATTTTATTGTCACTGAAAATTGTTAAATGATCTGAAAAAAATATGTACTTTTATTAAATTAACTATTTTACATACTGAAAACTTTAAACTTTATTATTATTAAAAATGAGTGTAGTGTATTGTACTATAAAAATATATTAATGTATACATTTTAAATGTAATCAGTGTCACACAATCATTCAGAAATCATTCTAATATGCTGATTTGGTGCTCAAGAAACATTCCTTATTGTTATCAAAGTTGACAGCAGTTGTGCAGCTTAATATCTTTGTGGAATGTGATACAGTACTCTAATATTATTAATTAAATTTTAATATTAGCAACATTATTAATTAAATTTAACAAATTAAAAGTGAGTAATAATTAGTCAAATTAATTCCTTGAAAGTTAAACATTTTAAAATGAGTAAAATTTACACCAAAAAATTAAACAACAATATCTGAATTACAGACAGACGTCAAAACATTAATGCATTCTTGCTAAATAATTATTCGTTAAAAAAACTAAACTTTTAAAATCACCCAACTGTGATGTTTTTTAGACAATGAGACTAAACAGTTAAATGCCTTTGTACTGACACTAATCTCATATGAATTTCTATTACACAATTTTTTAATGATGAAAAATTACTGAGTGCTTGTTAAAGATATGATTAATATGATATCTCTCACATATCTGCTCATTTTACGTTCTTCCACATGTTTAAAAAGAGGTTTTAAAAAGCACTTTGAGGATTTCAAGAACTACACCTCATTTGTTTCTGAAAGCATCATGGGTAATGTTGTCTTTTTAGAGCAGAGCAGGAGGGGAAACTTGATCAGTCTGAAACAATTCTAGACAAAAGGGAAAAATAAGACAGGAGAAGGATTCCAGCCTGCTGGAGTCATAAGCATGCTAGTATGTATGTGTGTGTATGTGTGTGTGTGTGTGTGTGTACCCAGGAGATCATTTTTGGTTGGGTCAGAGGGTCATGGCCAGCAAGAGCAGCATTAAATGCATGAATCTGTCACAGCCAGCTTATCCTGAGCACTGCGAAAACTCTCTCTTAATCCAGGAGAGATTACAGCGTTGAAGCCAGAGATCTGGTTCTAATCTCAACTAATGCAACTAGTATTGAGCGCTCAGGACCAGCAGAGGTCCTTCTCCCAGATCGGCCCCTGTGAGATTAGGTCAGAATCTTTTTTTTTCCCCCCAAATAAAGCCATGTTAAGTTAGCAGGAGTGTTTTTGGCATATGCTTGCTGGTTTCTACCTGATCCAAGATAATTCAAATGGGTTTAGATGACCAGATGGACTTTCAGCTGGTTAGAACCTGACTGAGCTTGTGCCAGCCTAACATTTTCCAAAAACCTCTTTGACCATCTGATTTGTCCACCGGTAGTCTACCACTGACTAGTCGCTAGTCAACCACCTATATGAGCTTTAATGAGACAGTCCTCATTACTACATTATCGCATTATAGCTTACATTGCTTGTATGGAGGAGCGCCCTCTGCTGGTATCACTGTTACCGCCATCGTAGTTTTTGTTTGTTTGTGTGTGTGTGTCTCTCGCTCACTGTTTCGCAGTGTGTGGTGTCTTTAAAGTAATGGTTTACAAAAATAAAAATGTATACATTTTTACTTATCTTGTTAAATAAAAGTATAAATAGTATAAATAAACTTTGACTTGGCGTGTTCGAAAGATTTTCACTTTCTTCAATGGAACATTGGTTGACAATTCTCTCATGACATTTGGCACAAAGTGGTGAGCCATGACCCAACTTTGCTTGCAACGACTCTGAGAAGCTCTTTTATACCCAAACACGATACTCTCGCCTATTATTACCAATACACCTGCTAATTATGGACTGTTTGAAAAAAACAAAAACAGTTTAACTTAGATTATTATAATCTTTTCAGTTCGTCCCAACTTTTTTGGAGTGTGTTGGAGCCATCAAAATCTAAATTTGTTTATATTTACAAAATACAATAAGTTAACTCAATAAACTTTGGAATCTGATGAGAAATAACAAACCACAGATTGTGGTTTTAAACGCATTTTACAAAATGTCCCAACTTTTCTGGAAAATGGATTGTATTTCCAATCATGTTTATAAGCAGGTATAGCAGTGCTAACAATACATTTAAAATACACTACCATTCAGTGGTTTGGTGTCAGACAGTGAGAAATATCATTTTTAAAAGTCTCTCATGCTCGCCAAGGCTGCATTTATTTGGTCAAAAATACAGTCGAAAAAAAAAAAGTTTTACTTTTATTGTGCGTGACAGTTTCAGTCCCTGTTTAATTTTCCTAAAAAAAGTTAAAAAGTGTAAAAGAAGAAATACATTTTTTTGTTTTTAGACTGGATCAACATGAGCATGAATAAATAATGACACAATTTCATTTTTTCATCTCTTTAGAGACATGCTGTGACATGAGAATGCACGTGTCTTAAGTCCTAATGACACACACACACATAAATATGCACACTGGTGTTCTGCGTGATGATCGATGGCTTGAGTGACAGCACTGTTGAATAGGTACGGAGATGCTCAGGAGTGCTCGAAAGGGAAGTGAATCAATGTTTCATTTCCTGGGAACACTCTTTTCTTTCGCTCTCTCTCTCAAGACTTTTGCTATGAGAGGGCTGGTTATTACTTTATTATGATGAAAGGGAAGAGGTGCATTTGAGTTCACCAAAGATGACGACAAAAAATAAGCTCTCTCACTAAGATGCTGCAGAAACGGAGAGATATATTTCTTTAGACCAAAGAAGAAGAGAATCGTGACCTCCTACTGGCATTGTTGGGTTTGGGGGGTCAGTGATGGATACAGGAATCCGAGTGGGTGTTGCCATGGTGACGGCTGATGGGTAGAGATCAGTTTCTTCATTATGTTTTCTTTCATATTTCATAAATGCTCAATGTATCCATATACTAAGCAGGGATTTATAGTCTGGTTTGTCTGTCCCTGGACCAAATGTCATTTTTCAAGTTTTATAATGGACATTTGTCCCATAAATAGAAAAATATTTAATGCCATTTGGTTGATGCATATAATACACTGACCATTTATGAAATATTTAAGGACTATTAAGAATATTAAATGACTGACTTGTCTGCTACAAGAAGAAAAAATACTTCATAACAGCCATATTCAGTAAAAATGTCTCAATCTTTTCGGTAAAGCGGAAGGATTGCAAAATTAAGTTTAATGACAGTGTCGATGTTGCAAAGTTCATCAATTATGAAACAAATTTGATTCAGCTTTAAAGCAGCTCTACGGAAGACAATTATTCAGCTCAGTTTAGTTCAGTGTTGATTCAATTCAGTTTAATCACTCTGTCAATGTTAGTTCATGAATTATAAACCCACTTGAAAGACTACAGAAGACAATCATTATATTTATTACATGTCTTATTATTTAATGAATAGAGAGTTCAAAAGAGCAGCATTCATTTGAAATATAAATATTTTGTAACATTATAAATCATTTAACTGACACTTTTGATCAATTTAATGCATCCCTGCTGAATACAATTATTATTTCTTTAAAAAAAACAGTGTAATTATTCTAAAATATCCCATTCAAAGTGATTTTTGGATTTTCATTGAAAATAAACCTTAAAATTGATATGCTACTGTAAAATAGCCTATTCAACATCTGTTTTATACCAATGAACTTTATATTGTACATTCCTATTTTACTGTGGCTGAAATCTGACCTCAGTCTCAAATTTGATTGGTCCACGGTTAGTGAACATTCTGAATATGCAGCCTCACAACTGCCTCCTCAAACTGTTAGTTGTAGACACATCTAGTGTCAAAAAATATGTGTACACTTCATGTAGGACTTACTGTACTTTATATGACATCTGTACAGACACAATCAAATGGGAGATTTGCTATTTTTCCATGAACTTTCACAGTAGTCCCGGCCCCCAGCGGGAACCTCGGGAGCTCCTTTAAATGTCTCCATCAGAGCCTGAATGTTAAAATGAGCCTGGGGCTCTCCTCTGTTCAACCTTCCTACATTAGATCAGCATCTGACATTTCTGAACGCAGTGACCCAGCTGTTTGGAAGATTATCTCATATTCTGCTAAATGTTTTCTCAAACACTCTGTGTGGGTGAGTGTGTACATGAGAAGCCTAAACTGTTTAAATGACAGTAATATCTTACCTCTCTTCTTTGCAGGACTGTGCCGTCTATGAAACCGAAAATAAGATCCTCCATGTGGTAAGTATTTCTCTTCTTTTTTATGCTGCAATATGAGGCTGATAATGAGCTCTAATGTTTCTCCTGTGAGCTCTGCCCTCATTTCTTCATTTACAGGAAGAATCGTGAGGATGCTCATACTCTCTCTGCCTGCTATATCTGTGCTAGACAAAATGCCTGACTGATTTTATAATCACACTGTGTTGTGAATAGACGTTTTAAATGTAGTTCATTCAGAAAATGATTCATTTGAGTCATCATTCGGTAGTGTTTGCATTATTGGCCCCAAAAGATTTTTTATTAGTAAAAGCAGATCTAGTATTGCATTAAATAACAATATTGCTCACGGTTGTAAATTTATAATATATATTATGTTACATTACATTACATTATTAACCACTGTATACAGTGTCTGGACTTATTCATCTTTAGTTTCACCTTCATAACCTTTTAGTTTGTTTCCATCCATCATATTTCACCTTTGATCTTCCCAGCCTTTTAATTTAACATTGATATACATTTTAGGGATTATGATTTGTAAAAGATGTGATTCTTCATGTCAAATCGTCAGGTAACATCATTTACGAACATGTATTATGCCACTTCAGGCCCTGAGGTGAAGTTCATTTTGCAGTCACAGGAGACTCACACCAAGGCTCTTTGTGAGATTCCCGTCTCATACGCACTAGCGCACAGCAGTGTGTGTGGCAGGTCCTGTTGTCGCCACAGACTGCTGGGCTGGGCACAGCTGTCATTCTCACTGAGTCCCACAGCTATAAATACCTTCACATTGCGCCTGCTAGCAGCAGATTTCATTTTCCAGCACCACCCCACCTCAGTTACTGACTGTAGGAGGAGAAACAAACACACCAATGACACCAGATGAAAGCAGAAGTAAAGCGAGAGATGAAACCATAAAACAAAATGAATTGAAGTGCTACAGGACCCTAAAATGCAAATATGAATCTACAGTATACCTACTGAGAAATCCAGGTGCACTTTTTGCAAATCCAGTAGCAATTAGTATCATAACTTCTTGACGGTGTGATATACTGTAGGTACTTTAGTCAGGTAGGTATGATAGGTAGATAGAATTAGTAGATACTGTAGATAGGTTGTTACAATACATAGTTGAACGCCTTCAGATTTTTTAAGTTGACATTTACATGTACGTACAGTATGTGATTAAAATCGAGGCGTCATTGATGAACAAATAAGCCTGAACCTCGAGCTGAACTCGGACATACTGTAGGCTGCCTTGTGCACAAGCACAGCGCTGCCCACAAGGCTATTGCTGCTACATAACAGCTTGTTTTTATCAGGTCTTTTGTCTTTGGGTCATTATATTTCTCACAGACTACAGATACAGATAAAGCAGCACGGTAACGATTATATTTATACTGTATGAAGGCATTACTGAGAGAGCTATTGTGTGTCCATAGCTGTGGATTTTAGTTTCTAAGAAATATATGCTAGAACTTTTCAGTTTCTAAGCTATATTATTGATAAATCACAGAATAGTGTCGACAATACGTTTCTGCGCTACTAAATGTTTCTGTGTACGCTTGATCTGCAAGTGATGTTCGAGCTACTCTCTGTATTTATGAGCGTTACAATACAGCAGTGCATTAGTTTAGAAAGGCGATTACCTTGCCTTTTGTCTAACTTGTCAACTTGTCATTTTACAGTAACTGTTGCAAAAGTAGAAATTTGTAAAATATGTTCTTCAAATATTTCTTATCCTGTTGTGCCTTCTATTGGCCATGATCAGCGACTTGTCAACGTCAAGCTTGGGTCATGGCAGAGCATTACTGTAAAGTCGACTAGTCTGTGCAGTATACATAGATGCCTTTTTTTATGGGCTGATAATCGTAAGTCATAGGCCACTCTTGTCTAAGCAATCGTAATCGTAGTTAGACGCACGTATGGATATCTACAGTATATCTGCAATAGACTTTTGCTATTGCAGATCCTTTTGCTAAACTAACACAATACAACAAGATGGAGGTGCCAGCTAACAAGACTAGTAAAAGTAAGAACATTCAAAAGTACCAGAGTAATATTGAGTTACTGTAATGCATATAAAAACATAAGCCAACAAATTTTCACAAGTAACACAATTAGTTACTTATTAGGGAGTAACACAATATTGTAACGCATTACTTTTTAAAAATCCCCAACACTGTTTGCTGTGTGTAGGTTGGTGATAGATAGATAGATAGATGATAGATAGATGATAGATAGATAGATAGATAGATAGATAGATAGATAGATAGATAGATAGATAGATAGATAGATAGATAGATAGATAGATAGATAGATAGATAGATAGATAGATAGATAGATAGATAGATAGATAGATAGATAGATAGATTGATAGATTGATAGATTGATTTGGTTGCTAGATGGGTTGGTAGGTTGTTGGTAGTTGGTTCCTACATAGATAAAGATATGTGGCAACTACTGTGGCAAATAATTGATATGCTGTCTCTTTTTCTCTTTCTGAAGTGTAAGACATTATCTGGAGTGTGTGATCACATCATCTCACTGTCGTCAGACCCCCTGGTCTCCCAGTCGGCACACCTGGAAGTGGTTCAGCTGGCTAATATTAAACCTACCGAGGGTCTGGTAAGATCATACATTAATAATTTGCTGCCGGCCGCTGTTCTAATTACTGCTGGTTTTTTTTTACTGTGTTTTTAATTCAATTATTTAGATTACATTTGATTAGAAATCCTATGTAAATATATTTGTTCATAACATGTTACTACTGTCATACGAATTGTGTTTATAAACACTTTTGTAAACATAAATCAGATTATCGGATCATTTATTTACATACAGTATTAAATGCTATTCATTATTTTATTTAAAATAGTATTAGTAACTAATATATCATATACATTACCTTTAAAAGTTTGGGGTCTTTAGGATTAAAAAAAAAAGAATTAATACTTTTAACTTTTTAAATTTTAACAGCAAGGATGCATTAAATGTATCAAAATTGACAGTAAAGATATTGATAATGTTACACGAGATTTCTGTTTATATTGCCACTTTAAAAGCTTTAAAGTTGTTTTTTGTAATTCATGCATGTGACCAAACATCTCTTTTATTAAAAGTAATTTCACTTCTGTATATGCATATGAATAAACTAGAAGGGATTTGAAATGTTCTTCAATGTGAGTGTGAGACAGAAAAAGGAAAAAATGGAGATTATTCATTCTAGTCTATTGTCTTTTTCCTTTGTCTCTTAAATCTTAAGGGAATGTACATCAAATCCACATATGATGGACTTCATGTTATCACAGGAACCACAGAGGGGGTAAGAGCCAGTCAGTGTTAATGTGTGTGTTCTAATTCATGTCTTTATAATGTCTATTATGCTGCCGATAAAACTGATAAATCTCAGCTATTATTGCACATGGTCAAACCAAATAGCGAGAGAGAGAGAGAGCTATACAGACAGGAGTGCTCTCAATAAAGAATAGACTTTATACATTAAACAGATTGAATTTAAGCTTTTATTTACATATGTTCATCAATGCACACATCAAATAAAGGTTTTTCTTATCTTAGGTTTTTCTTATCTTATTAGATATGGTAAACGGAAGCTCAAGCATGTTTGCTTGATGTGAGAGAACCACTGAGAACTATTCTCGTGTGTTACAGAGCATATGTTTGAGCATATGTTATGCAGCAGCTTTGTATGGTTTATGTTCGCTGATGAATTGTATATGTGAAAAAAAAGCGTAGATTAAATTTGTTTATCATAGTAAGTCTCTTCAGAATATTTGGACTAAACCGCTCAATTCATATGGATTAGTTTTACGATCTCTTTACGATCTCCCTTTTGAAGCGGTGCTAGTTGAGTTGCTGTCAATGGAGGAACAGAAATCTCTCAGATTTCATTTAAAATATCTTTATTTGTGTTTTGAAGATAAACGAAAGTTTGGTTATATTACGAAAGTTTGAAAATGGGTTTGGATCGACATTAGGGTGAGAAATTGAAGAGTTTGAACCTCTATCCTTTAATTATTCTATATTTTGACCCAGAGTGTATACCTTAAATGCAAGGTAATGTTTTGTTAAAAGCATCCACTAAATTCTTAGAAGTAATTTCAATACTTAAGATTGCAGTATGTCTTTTTTATTTGACATTTATTTATTTCCCCAATTCGTCTTTTTATATCTCTCCTTTGCATCCCTTTCTTAGTCTCCAGCAGATCGCTGTAAAAAGATTCACGCAGGGGATGAGGTCATCCAGGTGAACCATCAGACAGTGGTGAGTATCTCTTTAGTCATTCAATCCATTTGCCTCATTTATACTTCTACTGTATCATCCATCCATCCATTCACCCATCGTTTTTCTCCCCCCATGTATGTAAGTCTCACTTTGCATTCAACGGCAGTTGCCCCCTTCCTCTGTTATTGTGTATAGAATTATGGGACTGAGATGATTTAAATTTAAGGGCTTTAACGTGTCCTTGTTAAAGCACCAAGAGGTTTAAAACATATTTCAAGTATTACTTGATGTATTCTCAGCTCATTTCTAGGACTGGGGCAACTATATTCCAATTTGACTAAATTCACAATGATTGAGTGTGTTATGGTGTTTCTGAATGAGACTGGAGGGTGTTTCAAGGGCAGAAGAGGCTATAAATTAAGGACTGTGGAGTGTGTTTTTAAGGATGGTCGTATTTGAGTGATTTTATTTTTCTCGTGAATTTGGAGTGCTTCAATAGGTACTCCAGTGATCATACCATGTGGAGTTACCTTCAAAGAGTTGATAAAGAGCTTTTTCTGCATATTCTGTATGTGTGTGTTCAAGTAATTGTATGGATTTTAGCTTGTGAAATCAATTTTGTCTGAAATTATTCCCTTAAAGTATGAGGTGCTGAATAATTCTTCGAATATTTTTGTTTGACTCTCAAGTGGTGGCATTTATTATGAAGTTACAAAAGCAGAAGACTTCTAACAACTCTGTTTAGATTTAAGCGTTTTCTTCTGTTTTACCTCCAGGGATCAAAATTCAACTTCTGCATCAGTTTTTCTTGTTTGTCTTCAGTCATTTTTTCGCCGTGGTGAGGAATGCTGAGCTCTTTTTCAGATGAAAGATCAGCAACACTAAGGCTTCATTAATCTTCATGTAATTAGATTGTCATCCCCTTCATAATTGGATAAAAGTGCGTCTGATAAGCGTTACAAATTCGGCTTGTAGCAAAAAACACACAGACAAACAATTACCAAACAATGAGCAGTTCTTGCTCAGGAACAACCTCAGTGAGCGTTCAAGAATGGTGCATTGTGGGGACTGCTCTATGTAACATCTGTGATTAGTCCCCATACGCTACAGGATCAGGTCCCGTATATATCCAGAGATTCCAGCCCATCTCAGTGTGTCTGTATCTGTGGTTGTGTACTGTGGTCGTGTCTGTCTGTGAAGGGCATGCTTAGTGTAAACTGTGTGTGTGAGGCATGTTTTGCCTACATTGTGGGTAATAAATGTCCCCACAAGAATATTAAAGGATAGTAAAACCTCAAACCACATACATTTCTGGGACTAGCCAACAGTAAACAGTGCTTAATAAACACATTAAATTATGTCTTAAAGGGATAGTTCACCTAAAACTGAAAATTGTGTCAATTACTCACCCAAATGTCATTAAAAACCTGTAATGATTTTATAAGAAGCTTTTCTACATTTATTTTGTTTTATTTTATTTTTTATAATTATCCATGGACCCTACCTTGAAAACCCCAATTTTCTCATTACTCATCACTTGAGTCAGTAATTATACAAATGATTTTTATCATATTTAAGTGGCTTTGTTTCTAAGAGCACATCCTTAAGGGTTAGTTTACCCAAAATGAAACTGATGTCATTAATGACTCACCCTCATGTCGTCCCAAGCCCGTAAGACCTCCGTTCATCTTCGGAACACAGTTTAAGATATTTTAGATTTAGTTTGAGAACTTTCTGTCCCTCAATTGAAAAAATATGTACGGTATACTGTCCTTAAATAAAGGAAATAAAGACATTATCAAAGTAATCCATGTTACATCATTAGGCTTGCATCAAAATACATTTTGGTCCAAAAATAACAAAAACTACGACTTTTTTCAGCATTGTATTCTCTTTCGGTTCTGTTGTCAAGGACAGAATGCTCTCGGATTAAATCTAAAATATCTTAAACTGTCTTCTGAAGATGAACGGAGGTCTTATGGGCTCGGGACGACATGAGGGTGAGTCGTTAATGACATCCAGTGTTGGGAAAGTTCACTAGTTCAAAGTTCAGTTCACAAATTTTAAAATGAACTAGTTCACAAGTTCGAAAAACGAACTAGATTACAGTTCTTTTTTTTCCATTTGTTGCTGCAAACTATTTTTTGTATTATTGCCTCAGACAGTACAGTACATGTTCGCCCAAAATATGAACGAGTTCAATGAACGCGTTGATGACATCATTTTCATTTTTGGGTGAACTAACCATTCAATCAATGTAAAATCACTTGTGGTGCACTGCACAGCCTTTAAACTGTGGAATATCATGAATGAATTAATGTAGTTTAATAATTCATCAGTTATATAAACATCTTTAAAAATTTATAGATTGCATATAGTGTCAAATTATTTTAAAATTATATTTAAACAAGTGTAGCCTCCAGTGTAACAGAATTATTTAAACCATTACAAATATATATAGTCAGTTTATAAACTTCTTTTATTTTTATTTATTATAATATAGTATCATTCATCTGAATTATTTCATGAATTTTTTCCACATTAGGCATTTGGTTCTTCATTCAGGCTTACACATAATATATTATGAACCGAAGCCTCAAATATTGACATTTCCAGGGAATGTCAAGTTCTCCCATAGACCCAACAACCAATGTTAAATAAATTGAAAGATTAGCAAACATCACGCCTTATTAGTGTACACTCATCCCAATATTGTGTGTCAGGAAGCATGTGCGTGTGATACATAGTTATATTCTCTCCATTGTTCACCATAGGTGAATATAGAGGAGACGGAAGTTAGTATTTCCTAGCAGTTGCTTGTTAGGTGATGTCTCCGTGTGGCGTTCTTGTCGAGTCTGTGTATGTTGACCCTGTGTTTGTTGCTGTAGGTGGGCTGGCAGTTGAAAAACTTGGTAAGCTCTCTGCGTGGAGACCCTGCCGGTGTGACATTGACCCTGAAAAAGCGTCCCCAGAGCACGCTCACCTCTGCCCCAGCCCTACTAAAGAACATGAGATGGAAGCCCCTGGCCCTGCAGGTAGGATCCAAAATGCCCTGTCCTCAAAGCTTTCATCACTTGGGCTGCACTTTCCCCCTTTATCTGCCACCCGCTCCCTGAGCAGATTAGCTTTAATCGGCTTTTTGTGGAGGATTCCACAAGTTTGGTTCAATACCGGTGACTAGACTAAAATAAGAAGAGAAATATTTCCTAGTATTTGGTTATTTTTATAATAAATATACATCTTTCATGTCCATGAAGGTTATTGATATCGTTGTGGACAATGCTCTACACTTTTAGTCATTTTCCCCAGCCGCTCCAAAACAGGTCTGCATATGTATATATGGGTGGGAATATGTTAATGAGCTGATCGTCATGACATCACCATGGTTGCGTTCTGTGAATGGCCTGTTTGTGCAGCATTATTTTCATAAATCAGCAGCTGAACAGCTTTATTTATGGGTCTTTACTGGATATTTAATTGTACAGCCATCATCTATCGCTAGGGTTAGGTATCGTTTGAATTTAACAATTCCAATTTAAATTTCGATTCTGCTTATCAGTTTCGATTCTTTCGATTTTATTTAATTGTAGCTGAATTGCATGAACAAAACTCAACAAGCTAAAGAACACTTATGCAAGGCGTGTGGTTTAAAAATAGCCTACCATAGAAAAA